ACATAAGATGAACCCTGGTGAGAGTTCGATTTAGCACAAACGTCTTACCATCCATGACAGATTGCATATGCAGCTTCTTTATGTGCTTGTGAGCTACAGAACAGAGAGTGTCTTGGTTCTGCTTTACCAGAACAATTTGGGACAGCTGAGTACCATCGCCTCATGCGCAACCCCTTCCCTACTGTAGAAACACCCTCTTGCACCCTGATGCTTTGTCCTCAGCTAACAAGAGTCTGTGGGAAGTGCTTAGAACTCTTAGCATAGGAAGCAGGTTGGCACCGATCACAGCAAAATTAAAGTGATTCATGGTATGTATCCATTGCACAGCATTCAGCTAGTCACTGTTAACTCATCTCGTGTGTATTCTATTCATTTGAGCAAGCAAATCAAGAGTAGGGCATAGGACACTTTATAGAACCCACCCTGAGAGTCTTGGAGACAAGGAACTATAGGTAACCCTAGTCCTGTTCCCTCGGCTTCTCTAACAGCATTCAGTGGATCACCTACGGTAGAATCGCTAGGGATGATACTTTTTATTTTAAGGGATGCTTTGATTTTTTGAAGGGGTGCTTTTAACAACTGCAGATGTCTAGGGGAGCCTGGGTGGCTCAGTCGGTGAAGTGTCCGACTTCGGCTCAGGTCATGATCTCACGGTTCGTGGGTTCAAACCCTGTGTTGGGCTCTGGGCTGACAGCTAGCTCAGAGCCTGGAGTCTGTTTCAGATTCTGTGTCTCCCTCTCTCTCTGACCCTCCCCTGTTCACGCTGTCTCTCTCTCACTCTCTCACTCTCAGAAATAAATAAAAAACTTTTTTAAAAAGTATAAAAAAAAAAAAAACCAACTGCAGATGTCTGGTACTACCACCAGACTCATAACCAGATAGATTCTCTGGAGGAGTAACCCAGGAATCTGCATTTTGTCAATTTCTCCAGTTAAGCCCTGGCATGGAAACAGAGGGTGGGAGAACACTCCCTGATGTGCTGTTATCTGCACTGAGATATTATATGAGGGCGTCAGCCCAACCAATCCATTAACTACCTCCTGAGCTGCATTGTCCTGTGCTCTAGCCTGTGCAGACAAAACAAAAGTTAAAGTGCTTGATTCACACTACCTGACCTCTACTATTATTAATGCTAAGTTTTAATTTAAACGGTTGGATAGAGGCACTTGGGTGGCTCAGTCAGTTAAGCATCTGAGTTCAGCTTGGGTCATGAACTGGCAGTTTGTGGGTTTCCCGCCTGCCTCGGGCTCTCTGCTGTCAGCATGGAGCCCACCTCAGACCCTCTGTCCCCCTCTCTGCCCTTCCCTTGCTTGATTTCTCTTGCTCTCAAAAATAGACTTTTTAGGGGTGCCTGAATGGCTGTCGGTTAAGCGTCCGACTTTGGCTCAGGTCATGATCTCACAGTCTGTGAGTTCGAGTCCCGTGTCGGGCTCTGTGCTGACAGCTCAGAGCCTGGAGCCTGTTTCAGATTCTGTGTCTCCCTCTCTCTCTGACCCTCCCCTGTTCACACTGTCTCTCTCTCTCTCTCTCTCTCTCTCTCTCTCTCTCTCTCAGAAATAAACCATTAAAAAAAATTTTTTTAAATAGACTTTTTAAATCTAAAAAAAAGTGGTTGGATAGAATAAGAGCTAAGTAACAAGTGCTGGTGAAGATGTGGAGAAAGCAGAATTCTCATCCCTTGTTGGTGGGCATGTAAGATAGTGCAGCCACTTTGGAAAACAGGTTGGCAGTTCCTCAAACAATTAAACAGAGGGACGATGACCCACTCACAATTCCACTCCCACATATATACCCAAGAGATATGAAAACAGAATTTAAGTGGTATTTCTCCATCACTATCTACATAAAGTACCATTTAGTCTATTTATTACTTTTGTAAGATGTAGTTGACAACACTACTTTATTTTTAAGTTTATTTATTTTGAGAGAGAACAAGCAAGCAGGACTAAGGGAGGGACAGAGAGAGGAAGAGAGAGAGAATACTGAGCGGGCTCTGCACTGTCAGCAAACTCATGAACCATGAGATCATGACCTGAGCGAAAACCAAGAATCAGATGCTTAACTGACTGAGCCACCCAGACACTCCATTCCTTACTTTCTTACGTTCTAGAAGACATTAGAACTTTCTTCCCGTCTCTCAGGAATGCTAAGTTAGCATTCTTTTGCTTTGGTCAATAAAACCGAAGACCCAAATTGTTGCCCAGCCATTCTTATACTGCCTTACGCTGAGGTTTAATATTTTGCAGGTTAACTTTACAATATAGGGAGGGAATTTTTAAATTAGCAGCCTGGGGACAGACTGAGGGAGAAATAGAATCCTATACCAGGATGTTATTTGAATATTCATCAACAAGTTTCCTGAGACTATAAAAGTCTCTTGAGCAAAGTCTCTGGTTTTTCCATTTTCATCAGGGCAGAGTCCATGCCTTATACTATTAGGAACTCAAACACTGAATTAAATCATTCTTTACTGCAGCTACATTTATAGAATAGCTACCTACATCTCACAAGACCATCATCCATGCAGACTCAGTGCTAGGTCACTCCTGGAGCTGACACGGTCCCAAGTCCGCAAGAGCCCAGGGAGATCAGGCCAGCAAAAGACCTTCCTTTCCATACCCCCATATCTGCTCTCCCAGGCATCATTTAGATTCCATTTCCTTCAAGATTTATGCACAAATACCCATCCTGCTCTTTATTCCTCCCTCTCTCACCAGCCACCTCTATGAGCTAAATGATATTCTAGAAGAGAGATTTTACAGACCAAATTTCAGTTCTTCCCTTCTCACGTCATTAGCCCTTTAATTCCTACTGCATTTTGATAGTGGATAGATTTTCCTGTCTATCCTGTCTATCATAATCATGTCCTGTTATGTCCTTACACCTGGACTGGCAACTTAAAGATGCTGTATGACACCGCCCCGCAATGGTGATCCCATGCCTCTAGTGCAAAACAGAAAAAGACACCCCATCCTCAAACACTCCACTTCCATCTGTTGAAGTGTCGCTAACTTTACATTACAGATGACAAAACTAAGGCTAAGAGATTAATGGCTAGCACACCATACTTTTGATTTCTTTACCCAGAACTAACCAGAGAGTCCACATTATTATTCCATGCAAAGAAAAATAAACCTTTGAACACTCAAGCATGCCACATCAGCCTTCATGCAGCCAAATGTTTAAAAGCCTTCCATAGTTAGATATTGTGCTCAGTTGGCTTTTTTTCCCCTCACAAGAATTGTCCTCTTTGGGGAAAAGTCTGTTAAACCCAAACTGCCAGTTTATGCAACAACAAAGCTGTAAGATGCAAGAACATGGATTCTGAGACATGTTGACAACTGAATGGAATGCACATAGGCACAGACTGGAGACACAAAGCCAGACAAAACCACAAGAGAGCACAGCTCATGGCAAAAAAGACAAGGGCTAGTGCTGTTCTTCTGGAAGCTAAGTAGTCTCGCTCATGAATAGCTTTGAGAACGGTCTCATTTTCATAAGCAACTCAGCTGGCACTGTAACTTTCATGATGGGGAAACAAGTTTATGCTCAGGGTAAGAAAGGATGTGTATAGTTACACTACATAATTTATCAATCAAATTAAAATAAACCACAAGACCCTTGGAGTTTTGGGGCAAGGTCACGTCCACTTTAGATTAAGAAGTAAAAAAATGTTTCAGAGGCAGTTGCTCTAGAAAATGCCAGTTACTGGGAGCAGGCAGGCCAGTGAATGGATGGGTTTCCATCCTGGAAGCCGACGGAATTATGGCAGTCCACCTTCCAGAAACTGTGTGCTTCTTGGCTTCAAGTATCTCAGTCAGTCTCTCCCCTCCAAATCATCTCACCTGGAGTTGCCTCAAGGGGAAAAATTTAGTTCTGTCACTTTGTAAGCTTTGACAGTCTCATTCACATCAAAGGCACGTGCGGTTATGTGCGGCTTTCTTGTTTTCTTGGGGAGCAAGGGGAGGGAGGAACCAGAGTATAAAAAGGAGACAAACCTTAGACTTGAGTTCTGAAGGGCAGCCTTGCTAACCTTTTAGCAGGGACAGGCAGAAGTATGTAGCTCTATTTGACAAGTTGTTTTTGGAACAGTTTGGCATCCTGCAGCTTTGTTATATGGAGATTCGTGAGATTCCCTCCCTAGGTGACCAACATTGAGGGACTAGAAGTCTGAACACCCTCTGGAAGAGGTAAGAAGAATCCTCTCCTACATAAGGGTCCAAAGCTTTTCTAATTACTCCTAAAGGAACCTCACCAACTATTATTGTTAGCAACTTTCTCCCCAAGTAACAACATGGCAAGTCAAGTTCAGCCGAGACTGGCCACTGACGAGTCTCATCTCAGCTCAGGGCTCCCACTTTCGACAGCCCTTTAGCAAGAAAGGCCTACTGCCTTTACAGGAAACCAATGCCAACAGTCACTCCCTTGCTTCCTTTCAGTTTTGATTCCTTTTCAGCAAGGCAGTCAGCCAGGAGTAGCCTTCTACCAGCCTAAAAAACCCCTCTTAGAGGTTGAGTGGATGAGATGATAAAGGCCAACAACTGTCACCTTGTGAAAATTCGTGTATGCACATTAGCTTTTAATTTGTTTAAAACCTGTTGTCGGGGCGCCTGGGTGGCTTAGTCGGTTAAGCATCCGACTTTCGCTTAGGTCGTGATCTCGCGGTTCATGGGTTTGAGCCCTGCGTCGGGCTCTGTGCTGACTGCCAGCTCAGAGCCTGGAGCCTGTTTCATAGTCTGTGTCTCCCTCTCTCTCTGACCCTCCCCTGCTCACGCTGTCTCTCTCTCTCTCTCTCTCTCTTAGAAATAAATAAAAAACATTTAAAAAATTTAAAAAAAAAAAAAGAAAAGAAAACCTGTTGTCAAACCCTCCATTTTTAGCACTCGCCTTCAAGTTCCCCGCTGGGCCCGCTGGAATTCGCAGATGTGTGTTAATCCCCCCATCATGCAGGCCAAGCAGCTCTATGAAAGCAACACACAAAGCACATGGAAGACACAGCATGAAGTTCTCTATTCTGCAGCGAATTTTATTGAGTTCAGAGGAGACATTCCTTTATGAAAAATAAAAAACTGCAGTTGTACAGGCATGCTTGGTGAGACAAATCAGTGACGAAGCCTGCTCAGACCAAACCGGAGCAGACCCCAGCTCACACCACGGCCCACACGGAGGTGTTTTTATTCAATACAAATAAACAGCAACAACAGTAACAGGCAGAGACCATCACCGAAACTTGGGGAGTTCGACGAGTGTATCACTTAGCATTCTTTTCTGTCCAGCCAGGTAAACAACAGAACGCATCGGCTGATGCCAGAAAATTGTAAAGATCTGAATGCAGTTAGAACAGACTACAACTGGGGACCTTTGTTCTAGCTAGCTGCTTCCCCAATTCCAGGTTGTCTAGCAGGTTAATTTCAAGAGAACAGACAGGATCATCTGGCTGCCCGCACCATCTACTGGTGACAAGGACAGGTTTAAGGGGTTTTGTCTGGAGACTGCTGGACCTGACTGGTTGTGTCCTTCTCTGCACCACGGTCCTGAGCGTTCTGAGATTCGGTCAGCTGAGGATAAAAGGGACCTACCAGCCAGTTGAGAGGTGTGTTGTTAACAAGATAATCCATCACATCATCTAAAGACTCCTTCATTTTCTGCAGCTGCCCCTTGCTAGAAGCGAGGAGGCCATCAGACACTTCCTTAGAGGAGGCAGCGCTGAGGAACACGGAGTAGAGGTCACCAGCCATCACCCCCACGTGACTGGCCTGATCTTGGATGTTCTGTGGTAACCCCTGGATGCTGGACAGCAGGGTGTGGCACGTGGTCTGGAGCTGCTGAGTCAGGTTGCGGGCAATCGCAAGAGTCCATGACTCAATGTGCTAAAATAAAGCAAGTTTAAGAATTAGCTGTGGATCCAACGGTGCTATGTATCGGTCAGTTCAATTACAGCAAACTGGGTCGTGTCTATATACGTGGCTTCTTTGACTTAAAAATCCTCCTAAGAACCTGGAGCAGAGCAGTACTGTTGTCTTCTCGGCTAGGCACACTACCTTTTTGAACCCAAAGAACCACTTTCTAAGACTACAGCATGGTATTTCTTCTGTCTGGAACATTCGTGCCCTTATTGCCCTTTCACCTAGTTTATTCACCCATGAGACTTCAATTTAGCACTCATCTCACTTAGCACTCATCTTGTCCAGGAAGCCATCTGACTCATCCATTCTTTCTTTCTCTAAGGGGGAGTTAGGTTCCTCTCCTATATATTCTCACAGCCCCCCGTATGAATGCTACCAGAAAGCCCTGGGGCATTTAAAAGTGCCTGGATCCCCTGTGAGTTTCCCATTTAGTTGTATTCTGGTATTGGCAAGACACGGGGCTCTAGGTTGCTGAAGTTACTGCACATTTTGCTTTTCTGTCACAGACCAACCCATGTACAAAGTATTGTTCAAACTTGTGATAGAGGACAGTATTCGAAGATAACAGGAAAATGGAAATGAAAAGTGTTTTAAGAACATCTTCCAAAACGGTCGTGGATGGCTGTCCCCATTGTCTTACCTCAGCACAGTGGGATTCATCGGTATCGTCATGGCCAATGCTTCTCTTCCATTCCAGCCAGGAGAGATAGAACTTATCCTGAGCACCTTGAATTTTCTGGTTGGCACTTTGCACATTCTTCCTGGCAAATTCAATCTAGAATAAGGTGAAATAACAAAAAGGAACCAACTAGTCAGACATTCGTGTTAGCCTGTTCTCAGATGACATAAATCAGATAATATAAAAAGCAAGAATTCCCGTGAGAGTTTAAGGAGTGTTATCCCCACTCTCATTGTTATTTATTACCAGTTTTTGTAAATCAACCAAGTAATCGTCATTCTTTACTGCTTCTACTTAACTATTAAACCACTGTCTCCAAATTTACCTCTACTTTAGCCCAGGTATAAATGGCAGCTCAAATTTAACACGTATACACATACAACATAAAGCTACAAAAGGAAAAGGAATGAAAACCACCTCTTCCCTGTTGCCAGGGACCTCTTTCCCCTTCCAAGAAGAAACTAGCTTTTAACAGTAGTACAATACATATTCTTCTGCAACTTGGCAACCTTTAATGGCTACACAATAGTCTTTTGTGATGTATCAATTTAGTTTCCTATTAGTTGACAGGCCTTGTTTATAGTGTTTTGCAACTCTAAACTTCTATGCAACTCTAAACTTATATCTAGAAGGAAACATTTCTAAAAGTAAAGCTGCCCAAGGCACTGGTATGACTGTAACTTGCCTAGAACCATCCCATGTATTCCCCAGAAGGGCACAAGTACAGACACGCCTCTTTCTCTACCTCACTGCCCATGGCATCAGATTTTGCCAGTGTGACAGGCCAGGAGAAGCAGCTGTAACTTGTCCCCTCAGAGTAGGACTAACATTGCTTCAAGTATTTCAGCTATTTCTCCTTCCTTTTCAGTGAGCTGTCCATATAATTCTTTGCCCATTTTTCTATTGGATTGTTCATAAGAATCCTGGATTTCATGAGTACATTCTCTCTCATCCCTCCAGAGAAATGAACTCATCTTAGCTCCCTTTAAATGAAGTTCTACTCACCAGGTTAACAGTGGAATGGAGCTGAGAAATGGTCTCTTGGCCTTTTTGCTTGGCTTCCTTAACACTAGTGAGAGCCTGCTGGTAGGCACGTGAGCGGAGTTTGGTAGACAGGGACCCTAGTCTAACGTAATAACTTTGCTTTTGAACCATGTCAAACCCTTCAACTTTTTTTGCTTCTTTTTCTGAAATGAGGAAAAAAAGGAACAAAAATCATAAAGGATCACATTTAGAAGCGATGAGGCCCAGGGGCGCCTGGGTGGCTTAGTCGGTTAAGCGTCCGACTTTCGCTTAGGTCATGATCTCGCGGTTCATGGGTTCAAGCCCCGCATCGGGCTCTGTGCGGACTGCCAGCTCAGAGCCTGGAGGCTGTTTCGGAGTCTGTAAAAAAGAAGTGATGAGGCCTGGACTCTAACCTGGATCTCATCTTGTTGATTCTACCCACCCACCTGGCAATTATGCCCTCATTCCCCCCAGGACAGCTCCTGTCTGGACTTGACCACCCAAAACATACGTATCACTGCACCTGACTTTAAAAAAAAATATTTTTTAATGTTTACTTATTTTTGAGAGAGACAAAGACAGAGCATGAGTGGGGAAGGGGCAGAGAGAGAGGGAGACACAGAATCTGAAACAGGCTCCAGGTTCTGAGCTGCCAGCACAGAGCCCCAACACGGGGCTCGAACTCAAGAACTATGAAATCGTGACCTGAGCCGAAGTTGGATGTCCAACCAACTGAGCCACCCAGGTGCCCCTGCATCTGACATTTATCTATACATGTCTCAACCCAGTAGAGTAAGCTTCTTGGGCAACACAGTATCTGGCACATAGTAGGCACTGAATGTTTAATGATTCTGTAAAGCAGGCCATTGACAATAATCCATTTATAGAAAATTGCTCTAAGTTAAATTCCTCCAACAACAGTTTCCAACTTTGTAGAATTCAACATGAAACTTAGAACTGTTTACTCAGAATCAAACGTGACTTTTTGGTATATGAAGCAGATCTCAATGAAGCAGTTTTAAAAGACTGATTAAAAGACATAAATATATAATGTTAACTATGAGCTCAGGAAATAAACGGAGTTCAAGACAACGATCCAATTACCTAGCTCTTTCTCAGTGAGAGGGAAATACTGGTCTACCAGCAACTCCGACTTCGTGAGTGCATTCTCTACTCCACTGCTAACCAGCTGCACCATCCGGCTTCCCAAGACTGTGTTAATGCTGCCATTGACCACAAACTTGGTCTTCTCCACACTGCCAGTCACTGCTCCTTTGGTCTTGTCCATCACACCAGTGATGGTGCTGGCCATGGTATCCTTTGCCCCAGTCATAGTAGTTGTCACAGCATCTTTTGCCCCAGTCATAGCACCTCTGGCACTGGCAACAACCTACAAGTAGAAAAACACATTGCTTGGCTGAGGAGAAACGCAGGCATAAATATATAATTATAGTCTTTCTATTTGTTAAGTTTACTTATTTATTTTTGAGAGAGAGAGAGAGAGAGAGAGAGAGACAAAGAGCGAGTGGGGGAGGGGAAGAGAGAGAGAGAATCCCAAGCAGGCTCTGCACTCTCAGCATGGAGCCTGATGTGCGGCCTGAACTCATGAACCGTGAGATCATGACCTGAGCCGAAACCTAGAGTCAGACACTTAACCGACTGAGCCACCCAGGCGCGCCATAATTATAGTGTTAAGTAGGGCAGCCTGGTCTGAAATGCTTAACAAGGGATCTGGACTTTTTGCTCTCTGGCTTCAGGTCTTAGAAAAATCTCCAAGAGTTGAGAAGCGTCAATTTCCTGATCAGGTATTTCTGCTCTACCTACCTGCCACCACTCCAGGGTTATTGGAGGAGCAAGTAAGGTAAAATGATATAAAATTTGTCAGAATATTTTTTTTAAACTAGGATGAACATATAATAAGGCACAAAAAGTACTCCAGAGAAGAATGGAATTTTCCATGTTGACACGCTCACAGTGAGGGCAGCACCCCGTGCATGCCTAGGAGCACAGACAGGTGGCCCCATGCCCACCGGTCCCTAGGAATCACAGCTCCAGAAGGCCAACACCTGGCCAGAGACGTCAGTTCCCCATGCTAACGGATGGGCTCTCAGAACCAAGGGAGAAAAGTTTTTATCTACCGCCTCTGCATTGATCTAATACCACATGGGAATCAGTTATTTGCAACAGCAATATCATCTACAGAGGCAAAACCACAAATCAATCAAGATCAGACTAAACCAGGACCATCCAAAGGGGGGCTGGCTCATCTTGTTCCTCAGATAGAACCTGACAACAATTCAGCAAGTAAGGGAGTGGCCGTCACTCTTTCAAAAATACATCCAGGAGGATTATTTATTTCTCCTGTTTATGACACGCACAGCCCAGGCTAACCAGACAGAACATGAAGAAGTGGGAGGCAGCAAGCCCTAGCGCTCTTGCCCAACGACGCTCACCTGGGTTGTTGGCTGATTCAGAATAGGCAGTTTCTCCTCGATCCTGTCTAGCCCCTTACAAGCATAGGTATTGGCAACCGCAACTGGAAGAATCACAAATGGGGGAGATGTCAAGTGCAAGTAAGAATGCATACATTATACCTTGAACCTTTGGCCTTTTTATTAAAAAATGGAAGAATGCTGGTCTTCATTTACAATACGATGCACTGTCTCATTTCTCCAGCTCAGACAGAAGAGGCTTAGCAAGTTGCTGGCAATGGTCTTCTACAGAGAGGGAAATCAGCAAGGAAATCAGCTAGGAAGCTGGCAAAGAAACGTCTTCCTCATCAACTGATATCTAAGGTTAATGCCAAGAGAAGCCAGGCTTCATGTGAACCCTCATTCAGGGAGGGAGGTATCTGAAAATTCTAAAAATGGGTGTTCCTGTCCAGTTTAATCCTTACCTACACATAACTCAGTAAGTGGCAGTGTATTTTGGGGTTATGACCAGAAAACAGTATGCTAACAGCACCCCGAGTCTCACCAACAAAGCCCAGATTTTAGTCCAAGCACAATGATGGCCAAGCCAAGCACTAGTATTAAATTCATCTGGAAAGGAGCAGAGTTGGAAAACTGGTCTCTAGCGGTTCCTTACAATCCTCTGAGTCCATGATTTAACCATTTAGAGGAAATATCTAAACCTTTACTCAAAAGCAGTTAATAACGTGAAAAAAACGGGACCCTTCATATACTACTAGTGGAAATGGTGCAGCTGCATTGGAAAACAATCCGGCAGTTCCTCGAAATCTTAAAACAGTTAATATTAAGACCCAGGAACCCCACTCCTAGGCATACACCCAAAACAACTGAAAACACACGTCCACAGAGAATCTTGTACATAAATGTTCACAGTAACATTCATGATTCATCATCACCAAAAGTAGAAGGAACCCAAATGTCCATGAACTGATGAATGAATAAGTAAAATACGATCTACCCACACGATAAAAAAAATGAGGCACTGATACGACACAACATGGATAAACCCTGTAAACGTTATACTAAAGAAGCCAATCATGAAAAAACATTTTTTATGGTTCCATTTATATATAATGTTCGGAAAAGAGAAGTCTATAAAGACAGAAAATAGATTACTAGTTGCCTAAGGGGGGTTGGAAGGAAATGGGGAGAGACTGCGAATGGATGTAAGGTTTCATCCTTTTTTTACATTTTTTAATTTTTTACCCTTTTTTTAAATTGTAGCCAAATATAAACATACACTTCACCATTTTCACACTTTAAAATAAAAATGGTTTTATCTCTGCATAATTCAGATACATTAAGTTTATTCACAATGGTATACAATCATCACCATTAGTATTTCCAGAACTTTTTCAACATTCTAAACAGAAACCGGAATGAGGGTCCCTTTCTGAGGGAATGAAAAGGTTCTACAACAGATTACAGAGACACTTGCACAACTAGTGGGCGAATTGTATGGTGTGCTAATCATATCTCAAAAATGTTACTTTTGACAATAGTTCATGCATATTGTGTGATGCCAAGGAAATCAGCTTTTCATTTCACCCACTAGCACCCCTTGTGATCTCAGCTGCCAAACAGGCATCTCTGGAAGACTGTTTAACTACTGTGAACATCTGCTATTGTTAGGAGGCACTGTCCATAGCAACAACGGCCAAGGGGCAGGGTTTTTGTTTTTAAATTTATTTTTATTTTGAGAGAGAGAGAGAACAAGTGGAAGGGACAGAGAGATGGAGCTACAATCCCAAGCAGGCTCCACACTGTCACGATTGAGCCCGATGTGGGGCTCGAACTCCAGAACTGTGAGATCATGACCTGAGCCGACGTCAGGACTCAGAGTCAGTTGCTCAACTGACTGAGCCTCCCCAGCGCCCCTACCCAGCAGTTTGTAAGTAAAGGCAGTATGTGCCTTAGGAAAGACAGAGGAGGTTCCCTGAGTTTGCCTCTAAGTGGTAGGAACATAAGGCTGGCATTCACATCTTCTAGACAGTTCCTGGCTCACCCCTGCCCAATCCCTTGGAGTGAATGTTGAGGAAAAAGTCAGAACTCACTTTGTGGCTCTAGCTTCTGGAGGATGGGTAGAGCACTCGTCACAGCCATGGAAGTGATGGTCTTCACACCCTTCTCAGCCGTCTCGCACACAGACTTCAAGCAGGGATACTGATCCTTTGTACTGATATAAGCCGAGGAGACCAGGTCGTACGTGGAGCTCACCAAGGGTAGGTTAGCGACCCTAGTGACCACATTCTGCAACCAAGGCAGAGGGAATTGTTAATTCCTCAAAACACGCATGGGGAGGGAAAGGAATCAAGAAAATGTATTTAAAGGCCATACCGGTTGTGGATCAACTGCCACCGATGCCATTTTTCTTCTTAGAGAAAGAAATCTGTGGAAGATAAACTTCTTTCAGGACACCAGGATAAACTCTCCCAGATTCATTCCCCACCCAAGTAAATGCTAATTTCATGAAAACATTCAAGATACAAAAAGTGTAGTTTTTTGCACTTCTCCCCGCCCTCAAGCTGGCAGCTGTCCCCTAAGCAAACACCTTCTGAGGCTGGCTTTCAGAAATTATGGGTAAAATTCCAAAAGAAAAGAGGGTCTATGGGAATAAACAAAGTTGTTCAGGTGTTTGTCTTGTTTTCCACCAGGGTACTAGAAATGCCTTTGGAAGTGGAACATCTGTTCACAAAAATTTTAGAACCAAGTTAAAATCCAGGATAAAACTAAAGACGTGGGTGTCTGGCTGGCTCAGTCTGCAGACCATGTGACTCTTGACCTGGAGGTTGTTCAAGCCCCATGCTGGGTATAGAGATTACTTTAAACTGTTTGTTATTAAAATTATTTTTTCTTTTTGAGAGAGAGCGTGCAAGCGTGGGAGGCAAAGAGAGAGAGAGATACTCAGAATTGGAAGCAGGCCCCAGGCTCTCTGAGCTGCCAGCAGGGAGCGGGAGGAGCTGGAACTCACTAACCCCTGAGATCATGACCATGACCTGAGCCAAAGTTGGACCTTTAACCGACTGAGCCACCCAGATGCCCCTAATAATAAAAAATTTTTTAAGTGAAAGATTTCAAGTAGAAGACATCTTCGACAGCCATGACTATGAAGCTGGAGCACTTTAAGGGAATTTATTCCTTCCTTGTGAAGGGACTGCGACTAGTCTTAGGGAGACCAAGCACAAGAGGAAGGGCGGGCTCCAGTGCTAATTTAGTTCCTCCAACGACCTATACACCCACATAAAACTGCTTTACCGCTAAGCAGCAGAGCTGGGAAGGAAGCATCTGCACGGCCCACTCTCCACCACTTCAGGGCCAGTCAGTTCACCCTCCGGCCGCCGAGGGTCCCAGTGCCGCAGGAAATGTGCAAGAGCAACCCTGAAGGCGCAAGTCAGGCGCCAGTACCCACAGCCTCGCTGTCGCTGTGAACCCCATACAATTCTGCCTGAAGACGATTTGCTAGCACACTTCCTAAGAATGTGCTTTCGGGACAAATGGAAACTCTTACTCCGCAACCAAGCCAAGAAGCTACACCCGCACTGAAACTGCGAGCAGAAAAAATCCCGGGAAGGGCGGGGGGGAGCAAGGGTGGAAAGCGCAGGCCCAGGAGACCGCCCCTTCCCAGCCCGGACCCGGAAGCCGCAAGGCGGGCTGACTCTGGGACCACCGCCCAGTCTCCCAGTCTGGAGCCCCGCCGGGGACCCGGGTCAGTCCGCCGGACACACAGAGGGTGCGCACCTACCTACCGACCTCAGCGCAGAAACGAGACCCCCGCGAGTCCCACGCGGCTTTCAAAGCAGGGCGCTGGCCTCCAGGCTATATATACCGCGCCGGCCCCGCCCCCCCCGCAGCACGTGACCCGCGGCCCCGACCCGGAGCGGCCGCAGGCCCCGCCCGAGGGTCGCGCTCCCTCGGGGGTGGGCGCCCTGCCCGGCGGGTGGCGCAGGCGACCGGTGCGCAGGCGGGCTCGCAGGTTTTGTAAAAGGCGTTGGCGGTGTCGACGCGCAGATGAACCGTAACCTGTTGCTTACCGTCCGTCCTCAGAATAGAACTGCCTTTAAAAATGGAAACGGCGGCTTCTGGACTTTTGAGCGAGTCAATAACTTCTCACGTTTGGTAAAACTCCAACCTGATGATGGACCTGTAGAGATTGTTTTATTGCTCTTTTAAGATTTTTCAAATGTGGTTCTCATTTAATTTACAAGAAAAGCTTTAGAGTACCGTCGGCTGGTCCCCTTCTTTTTTTCTCGGTGACACTTATTCCCCAATCACTGCAGGATGATAGCTGCCTATCCTGATGATGCAAGATGGTCTTTATGAAAAATTGTTGGTTATGCTTTTTCGAAGAAAGAAAGGAAACGTTAGGTAGTTACATCGTCAACACAGGAGTCCCAGGTGTTTCGTTTTTCAAATGCTGGGACTTGAACCTGGTTGAGCAAACGAGTTGTGCAGCGGCGCCGGGCAGGGTAGGAGTTCTGTGGACGTGTCCCGGAACAGACCGGCGGTAGGGGGTCTCCGCGTCCCGTCGCCGCCGGCCCTCGCGCCCCCCTCCACCCCCCCACCCGCTCTCGGGGAAGGTTAAACCAGGGACTATCCGCAGGTGGAGAGGAGCTCCCGCCCCGGACGGCCGCCGGGTCATCGTCGCCTCCCGGAGCCCGGGACTCTCTTTGTCAAGCAGTGGCGTTTCAACCGTGGAAAGCCCCCGAAGACATTCATCTCCATTACTTAACTCGTGTTGCGTGCGCATAGATACTGTGTATCATATCTAAAGCTCCAAGCTGACCCTTAAAAATGTATCCCTTATACAAGACAGGAGTCTAGAGGCCCTTTGCAAGAAAATACAGTATTTCGGGGCGCCTGGGTGGCTTGGTCGGTTAAGCGTCCGACTTTCGCTTAGGTCATGATCTCGCGGTTCGTGGGTTCGAGCCCCGCGTCGGGCTCTGTGCTGACAGCTCAGAGCCTGTTTCAGTCTGTGACTCCCTCTCTCCCTGACCTTCCCCTGCTCATGCTGCCTCTCTCTCTCTCTCTCTCTTTCCTAGAAATAAATAAATAAATAAAAAGAAAATACAGTATTTCTCCCTCCCTCTCGAACCATGCGATTCAAAATAAAACAACACTAAACCGTAAGATGAATGTTAGGAAGTCCAAAAAGGTACAGAGCTTGTTTTTAGGTCCCCCCCCCCACTGTGTTGACATTTTTCAAAGCTTTTAAACCATCAAATTCTTTCTCTCCTCCCCCCCTCTTTTTTTTTTTTTGTCCTTTTTGTTGTTCCAGCTTTTTTAGGGCTGTCAGCAGAAGTTTGGTGTGTCAGTTGTTAATCTACCCCCTGCTGTGATGTGAGAGGGCAGGAATATATTGAAATGTGAGTAAGAGTTGAGTGTCTTGTTTGTTTTGTTTTTTACTTCCCTCTAATCTGACCTCTCATTTTGCAACAGAAAACTCTTGCCCTTTCACCTACAGTGGCTCCATCTTGTCCTCTTTTGTTCTAAACTCCCGAGTCACTAGTCCTCCTGAAAGGCGAGCAAGCTTCCTTTTGCTTTTTTACTTCTGTAAAAGAGATGGCTCCAGGGACTCGTCTTAAATCAGTTAAGCATCTGACTCTTGATTTTGGCTCAGGTCCTGATCTCACAGTTTGTGAGTTCACTCTCTACCCCACCCCTCCCATGCACATGCTCACTCTCTCTCTCTCAAAATAAATAAATTTTAAAAATTCTTTTTAACGAATTGTTTTTGTATAGTGAGATAGGGAATTCGTGCATCAGAATCACCTGGGTGCATGTTAAACATTCAGACTCCTCCCCCAGACCTACTGAATCTCTAAGGAGTGAGCCCCAGGAGTCTGCATTTTTAACACCCCTGTTGAACATCACCTCTTTATTCTTCACATAGCACGTTCACATTTGAGCCTCACAACAGTCTGGAAACTCAGTGAAATGGGGATTGTTACTCCCATCGTATAAATGAAGAAAGGGCTCAGACAAGTGTGGGATTTGCCCAGTCTTATGACTGACTAAGCAGCCAGCCAGGCAAGATTAGATCCTAAGGGCATGCACGACCTGGGCTCCTTACCTAATTTCTCTTTGTCTTAGTTCCCTCACCTATAAAGTGAAAATAATAGTCGTCCTTCATGCTGGAAATAAAGGGCATATGACTATTCGCTGTACTAGTTTTTCAACTTTTCTGGATCTTAAAATGTTTCAAGATATACATAGAGGAAATTATGTAGCAAAGAGAGAAAATGATCTGACCTGTAATTACTTCAATGTAGTGTAAATCAAAGAAGCTACAAGTAATATCATACAAAACAAACTCAGTGAGCTCTACTGTTAGCAGTAAGGATGGTATTGCTTTGGGGGCTGAGGAGACCTGCTGACTGAATGGGAATGCCAAAAGCCCTTTGGGTGCTACTAATTTTGTTTCCTGTGCAGGGAGCTAGTGACTGTTGGCGTGCCAGCTTAAATACTTAAATAAATTTAGGGGTGCCTGGGTGGCTCAGTCGGTTAAGTGTCCCAATTCAGCTCAGGTCATGATCCTACAGTTGGTAAGTTTGAGCCCCACATCAGGTTCTGTGCTAACAGCTCAGAGCCTGGAGCCTGCTTCAGATTCTGTGTCTCCCTCTCTCTCTCCCTCTCTCTCAAAAATGAACTGTTGTGCCCGATTCGCGAGTTCCCAGAGACCTCCAAGGAGCCGGCACCGATGCAAGTACAAAAGGGTCTTTATTACTAGCTCTAGCAGGGGCTCATCTGCCTACCTGTGTTTTGGCAGCAAGATGAAGCCAAGAACAATAGCGAATAGGGTTTTTAAGGAGTAAGGGATGGGGGTGTTACAGTACTTGTAGCATCATCACATAAGCACCAATTACAATTACAGCTTTGACCATTCAGTATCTGTGAGGTGTTCATTATTTTTGGGGGACCCAATCATGACTTTTGAGAATCCTTTGAAAATGACCAATTATGAGGTGAGTTCAAAGGGCCCACGTGGGGCTCGGGCAAGCGGTGAGAAATTGGCTAGTTTGTATCTGCAGTTCCCAGCCTTGACTCAGACCATTGGAATGTTTTTTCATAGCTGATCTGAGGGCGGTCCGAGGATGGCTTTAGCCTTGAACAGTCTGAGATTGGGACGGGGATTGGGGCTACGTGCAGCCCGAGGTTTCTCTTAATGGAGGACTTAATTTTTGGCTCTTCGGAACATTTTAAAAAACTTACATAAATTAATATAATTATAATCATATATATGTATTAATATATATAATAAAATATATTAAGCTTCTATATATTTTTGTATTTATGTTATATATACTAAAAAAGTTTTGAGGAGTTGAGAAAAGGAAAAAGTATAGTTATGCTTACTTCATAAGAGTTTTGCAAGGATTAAATTAATCAATACACTCAACAGTTAGAACAATGCCAGGTACATAGGCATGGTAGCTATTTATGTTTTCTAAAAATTTTTAAATGTTTTTATTCATTTTTGAGAGACAGATACAGAGCACTAATGGGGGAGGGACAGAGAGAGAGGGAGACACAGAATCTGAAGCAGGCTCCAGGCTCTGAGCTGTCAGCACAGAGCCTGACGTAGGGCTCGAACCCATGAACAGTGAGATCATGACCTGAGCCGAAGTCAGATGCTTAACTGACTGAGCCACCCAGGCGCCCCTATTATTAATGTTTTCTAACCACATCCAGAGCTTTCTGTGTCCAAGAGGGCCGGGCTGGGCATTGGGCTGAAGACAGCTCAGCTCACAGGGGAAGGAGAAGGGATTCTAAGGGACCAGCAATATCCCAACCCCTGCTTAGTCTTCCTTCCTGGACTGCAAAATATGGGAGACCCTGTTGATAAAGACAGCTGTCCTAGAGTGGTAGTAACTCAGCCTTCTTTGAGTCTATTATTGATACAAAGTAATAGTGAATAGCAAGGGGGGGAAACGTGGCCACAAAGTGTTCTCACGAAGAGCCAGGGCAACAGGTTTCTCCCCCCCCCCCCCCCGCAGTAGTTTTCTTCACTCCCCTGTAAGGATGTGCACCAGCTACATCCACCTGCACTGGCTCCTCTGGGCAGGCCTCTCTCCCTCCCGTCCCTTTCTCTTTGGACACACTTTAGTCTCTCCATCTGGAATGCCTGCCCATCTGGCAAACTCTACTCTGTGCGACATAGCCCTTCACGTCTGTGAGGCCCTCCTCAGCCCCAAAGTCATAAACTAGTAAGTGGCAGACTGAGCCTCAAACAGGTATGTCAGGTTCCAGAATCTCTGCCCCTTACCACTACTTGGTGTGTGCCCTTAGGCAGTAAATACACTTGACCCTCATAGGCCTCAGTGCCTGCAACATGAAGGAGTTAGATGGTATCTAGGGTTCCTTCCAGCTGTGTTATCTTAATCCAAAAGATAGCAATACCTTATGTGGTTTATGGCTTTACAATGTTCTTTCTATAAACATTATCCCAAACCACACAGCGGCCTTTTCCTATTCCCTTATCATAAGACAGCCCCATCCAAACGTAGGAAAAATAACACTTTGCCTATCTTTTATTTTCATCTAGGCTTGAAATTAGATAAAACTGCTTTTCTCATGGGCCAGAGACAAAGATAATGGGTCATAAGTCATGAGGCTGGATGACCTCTGTTTTGACCAGTTCAAACTCCATGTAAACTGCTCACCAGGAGGAGGAATTTCTTGGATGACCCAATTAATGTACTTTCCTAATCATGTCCAAACTCGATCCTCTGCCATTCTTATTTCCCCTACAACTAGTTTGGGAAGGAAACGGCAACTGCTC